TTTTCACTGCTCTTTGGATAGCCATAAATGAAACTCCTCTCTCACGTTCCAAACGTATTATGGATTGAGCTGGATCTTTTTTTAATTTATCTCAGTTCAGCGGAATCAGTATCAACGTTGAGTTTAAGCAAGCGAATGAGACAATTGGATTAAAGTGCCATGCAGATTTAAATTTTTCCCATTTTTGACGAATGCAGCTATCGATTTTTTTGCATGCTTGCATGCTAGTTAACATTCGTGTCAGTCAACTGTTGGCTCACACGCTGGCCAATAGAATCTTCCTGCCTATTCGTGGCAACCAGCTATAGACTCTCACTCTGGCCAGTAGAAAATGGCCGCAAACTACATGAAAAGTGCCGTAGAAGCATGAAAAAAATCGATTATTTCCGCTATCGATTCGAGTTGGGAAACGCAAAGTCGGTCTTGGCCTTCCCGCTAACTTGGAGCATGTGCATGTAAATTTTTGTGCAAATCCGTCGAAAATTGCGGCCGTGCATTCGTTACACACACACACATCCTGCCTTTTATAGATAGAGATAGTTATATTAATCATTTATTTAATAAAGATTCTTTTTATTTATTTGCATCTACAGACGTGAATATTCCATCTAAGGCTCATTAGATCTAATGACGGTTTTCCCGAGGGGGTGAATTTTCGCTTCCTGCTGGAGGGTACACATTTTTAGAACAACGTTTCTTGATTATGTCTCACCAGGCAAAGGTAACTGTCGTTAGATACGACGTGCTTCAACTGACTCATCTGCTAAGAACATTGCCGTTCACGAAAGTCTGAATAGTGCCTTAAAGAAAAGTCTTTCTCGTCATAGTCTCGTGGAATGTTCAGTCCTTCACAATTCCGTATCTAAACGTAAACAAAACAATTTCTAAAGTAATGAATGTTATTCTTCATTGATCCGACAGAGTTCATCACTTTAAATTTTATTTTTAATGGATACTCATATTTGACACTACATTCATTTATTAAACCGTATGTTTATTCTGTTAGTTTATTGGCTGAATAGTCAAGAAATCTTATTAAATGGAAATATATGGTCTATGGCAGGATTCGAACGCCCGTCTCAATGGACATAGGAAAAATCTTAGGTCAACTCAGCTCAGTAGAGTAGCTGTATAAATGACAGGTGTAAGCAGGCGTCTATATATATATATATATATATATATATATATATATATATATATATATATATATATATATATATATATATATATATATATATATATATATATATATATATATACGTTCGAAAATTATAAAATAAATATGTAATAAAAAAGACAACGAAAATAGATATATATATATTCTATATTCAACTGCAGCACTTGATACTACACCAGAAATAGCAATTTTTGTTGTGATTTTATAATATATTTATGTTATAATTTTCGAATAAATGATATTTATATTCACTTGAAGATGAAATTCAACTAATGTTTTTAATTTAATAAACAAATTAAATTCGAAGCCTTTAGCTTCCATTTTTGAAACATGGTTATTAATTGTGTAAAAAAAATATATATATATATATATATATATATATATATATATAATTATACGTTCGAAAATTATAAAATAAATATGCAATAAAAACACAACAAAAATAGCTATATATATTCTATATTCAACACCATCACTTGATAATACACCAGAAATAGCTATTTTTGTAGTGATTTTATGATATGTTTATGTTATAATTTTCGAATAAAAAATATATATATTCACTTGAAGATGAAATTCAACTAATGTTTTTAATTTAATAAACAAATTAAATTCGAAGCTTTTAGCTTCCATTTTTGAAATATGGTTATTAGTGTGTAGCGAAAAAACATATTTTATACCAGTTAATTTATAATATTTATGCTCTGCAAATTAACATTGAGCAGTGTTTTGTAAAAAAAAATATATCAATAAGAACACCGGATTATATATCTTAGTGTTCTTTTATATATATATATATATATATATATATATATATATATATATATATATATATATATATATATATATATATATACGGAGGAGACATGGATGGACGAAGACTTGAACATCTTCTCGTTGTTCAAGAAATAAATTTATAATCTCCGTCTTTCCATTATCTCTCGGTGTCTCTCTGTCGCTCTTACTATCTCTCCTTCTCTCTCTCAATATATATATATATATATATATATATATATATATATATATATATAAAATAAAGTCAACATTGAAGTCAACACTCAGAGGCCACAGGCTGTTTTCACGCTAGAAGCAATCGTCAGGCCAAAGTGTTTTCACACGCTCTATCTTTGATATTAAGCAGTATATCCATAAACATAGCACACCTTAAAACTATATTCTTTCATATATATATATATATATATATATATATATATATATATTTCTAAAATTATATTTTCAAAAAAGATTTTATCGTATAATTTAATATTTATTAGTTACAATAAATTCTATTTTAGTCTAAACCCAACATTAAAGCATTAAATAATTATTATAACCTTAGTTCAATGTTAAGTTTTTTTGAATTTTCATATACTTGTATTTTAATTGGTCATTCCAGCTTATGTAACATCGTTACCCCTAGCGAGGGGGGTTTGATTGATTTGTACCTTTTAAAACCCTTTATTCAACATTGAACATCTAATCATTTCTACCAATTTACAATTTCTACCAATTTACAATAACTATTAGCTAACTATCATTGTCTCCAATCCCTTGAAACATTACTATCACATCTTACCATATAAACCCGTTATTAAATTGAACTACCCTCTCACCCAGCACATTGAATATTAAACTAAACATCACCATATAAATTAACCAATAAGGATTACAAATTTCTACCTGTTATATATACACAGTCACCAAAAACAAACAAATAACCAGCTTTAAATATAACAAATAAAGCCCCATTTTTTTTTTTCAAAAATTTAAAAATAAATATAAATAATAATAATCTTTACCTATCATAATTTTACACAAACCCCACCACACGCATATACATACATGCGAGGAAATATTTTCCAGCTGGAAAATAGATATGATATGTACACATCAACGAGACATTTCCGCCACACTTCCAATGTTTAGATTTCAACATTTCAACATACAAATGCGTATATATAGATATAACACCACCCGTATACATACATGTGTCATAGCCGAAACTGCCCACATATGTTTATATATGTATGAGTCCCGACGGACGACCAAGTATGTATATGTGTCTGCATACATCGATGTTTGCGTTAGTACGATGAATGACAAAACGACGAAATTTCCCCCACCACTTCCACAATAACACCAATACACGCAATCTACATAAACCCAAATTTTTTAAAACATTAATCAGTTTGTCTGACGATCGCTAAAGCGTGAAACCCATTGTCACAAACTCACATCTATCCAACCAAATATGTTAGCTCTATCTCTGATATTGAGCGCTTTCTAATAAGTACCGCGCATATAATATATAAATAATTATACATATATATATTTGTTTATATTTATATACACTTTTCACATATATTTCGCTCCCCCCACGGGTTGAGCACTCGCGCTATTCTTTTAACGAAAATGGATAAATTTGACCTACGATACTCACTGAAAAACATCCCCATACCTACCCAAGCTTCATACAAACTCCAACTAACAGAGAAAATCGAAAGTCTAATAAGACGAATGAGATGGAAGGCATATTTCTCCCTCAACGACCCAAAAAACCAAACAACTGAAAAACCCGGGACATTCAACTTTAATACAAAAAAGTGTCCACCAATATGCAAGAAAATGTTAAAATTCAAGGGACATGATAAATATAGTTAGAACCTTGAAATTCAAAAAAAGACACTTGGACAATTTCCAGAAAAAAATCATAGACGACGATCGCTAAAGCGTGAAACCAGGGGTCACAAACTCACATCTATCCAACCAAATATGTTAGCTCTATCTCTGATATTGAGCGCTTTCTAATAAGTACCGCGCATATAATATATAAATAATTATACATATATATATTTGTTTATATTTATATATACTTTTCACACACAGACACACACATATATATATATATATATATATATATATATATATATATATATATATATATATATATATAGAAATTTTGAAAAAAAAACAAAAATCCATAAATGTATAATTTTGTCTTGAAAATGGTTTATTAAAACCAGAAACGTCTGACGTCGACAATTCTTTCATTTTAACTACATTTATGGATTTTTGTTTGTTTTTTCAAAATTTCTACATTCTGTCGGATTTATATCCATTTACACTTGCTTATATATATATATATATATATATATATATAATGGGGAGAGAGAGAGAAATATATGTACAACCTACAAATGAGTAAAGCCATTCTTCAGTTAGTTATTCTAAAACATCGCATGACAATGAAACCGTACCCTAAATTTTAAGTTTAATATCGAAATTAAATTTTAAGACTTGATTCAAATTTCGAAACAGTAATTTCTTTTGTCGCGATGGAATCATAGTTTTTAAAAATAATATATATATATATATATATATATATATATATATATATATATATATATATATATATGTGTGTGTGTGTGTGTGTGTGTGTGTGTAATGAGAGAGAGACGGAATACATTGACAAATATTTGGAGATAGATTTATGGACAAATTTAGCTTGGAATAAATCAGATTGTGGACGACAAATGTTTTCCAAATGACCCGGACACAGACCAGTATAAAAGAACACCGAGGCTTCACATGTGATTGGTCACCTGTCGGCAAAATCATCTGGTCAGTTCGAAGAATTGTTGGTCTGTCTGAGAAACAGGAATGGTCAATTACCGTAATTATGAGACTGCACAACGAAGATGATAACGCATAGGATGAGACCAGCGGTCATTTAACTATTGACCGCCAATGCCCGACAAAGAAAGACGATTGCAATGAATTCGCTGTCGAGGGAAGGCGGAAGGGCATTTGATCACCATAGTCAATGTCACTCAGTCATTTTCTCACTCCTCTCTATTTTTCCTCACTCTCCCCTCTCTTCTTTCTATTTCCCCTCTCTCTCATCTCCTCATTCACCTACTCTTTTTTCACCCTCCCTCTCTATTTTCCTGCTCCCATTCGCTCATCCCTCTCTATTTCTCACTCCCTCTCTATTTCTCGCTGTCTATTTCTCCTCCTCTCTCTCTCTATTTCTAAATCACTCTCTCTCTATTTTCACTCACTCTCTCTCTATTTTCACTCACTCTCTCTCTATTTTCACTCACTCGCTCTCTATTTTCACCCATTCCCTCTCTATTTCTCACTCACTGGCTCTCTATTGTCACTCACTCTCTCTCTCTCTATTTCTCAATCACTCTCTCTCTATTTTCACTCACTCTCTCTCTATTTTCCTCCTCGCTCTCTCTGTTTTCCACCCACTCCCCCTCTTTTCCTCCTCGCCCCTCTCTATTTCTCCTCTCTATCCCCCTCTATTTTTTCCTCCTCCCGCTCTATTTTTCCCCCATTCCTCTCTATTTTTCCTCCTCCCTCTCTATTTTCTCCCTCCTCTCTATTTTCACCCCTCGCTCTCTTTTTTCCCCCATTCCTCTCTGTGTCCCTCTCTATTTCTCTCTCCTCCCTCTCCACCACTCTCTCTCTATTTCTCACTCACTCGCTCTCTATTTTCACCCACTCCCTCTCTATTTTCACTCACTCCCTCTCTATTTCTCACTCACTCTCTCTCTTTCTCCTCCTCTCTCTCTCTATTTCACTCACCCCACTCTTTTCCCCATTCCCCTCTCCTTTTTACCCCTCCCCTCCCTCACTCCTCCCTCTATTAACTCTCCTCTTTATTTCTCCTCCTATTTTCTCTCTCCTCTCTTTTCCTGCTCCCTCTCTATTTTCCTCACTCGCTCTCTTTTCACCCCCACTCTCTCTTTTCACCCATTCCCTCTCTATTTTCTCACCTCTCTCTCTCTCTCTCTATTTTCCTCACTTCTCTTTTCCTCCACTCGCTCTCTATTTTCCCCCTCCCTCCTCCTATTGTGTTTTTCTCTCTTCATCCCCTCTCTATTTTCCCCCTCTCTTCTCTCTATTTCTCCTCTACTGGCTCTCTATTGTCCTCCTTTCTCCTCTCTCTCTTTCTCAATCACTCTCTCTCTATTCTCTCTCTTCTCCTCTCTCTCTATTTTCACTTTCACTCTCTCTCTATTTCACCACTCCCCTCTCTATTTTCCCTCCACTCCCTCTCTGTTTTCCCATTCCCTCTCCTATTTTCTCACTCTTTGTGCCCTCTCTCTCTCTACTTTCACCCCTCCCTCTCTATTTCTCCTCCTCTCTTTCTTTCCACTCACTCGCTCTCTCTTCTCCCTCCTCTCTCTATTTTCACCTCCCTCTCTATTTCCCTCCTCCCTCTCTCTTCTCCCCTCCTCTCTCTCTCTTTTCCCTCCTCTCTCTCTATTTCACTCCTCGCTCTCTTTGCCCTCCTCTCTCTCTCTATTTCCCCACCTTCTCTTTTTCACTCCCCCGCTCTATTTTCCCCCTTTCCCCTCCTATTTTCCCCCTCCCTCTCTTTTTTCTCCTCCCCCCCTCTTTTATTTATCTTTTTCTCTTTTTTTTTCTTTAACTAGTCATTCATTTGGTACTAAGAGAGGTCAAATCTATCTTCCCAACCTCTTAATATACTAAAAGGTCAGATAAACATCGGTTACTGAAAAAGTCCCATGGTCAGAAAATCGTCTATCTAAATAAGTTATTCCGTAGTCGTCCTGAGAAATATCATAAATTTAATTTATTTATATTTATATATTTATTCGAAAATTCTTTTAGAGATGAATCTTAACATTTTTAATTAATTTTCTGAATTGGTCAGTTGAGTTTTTATTGTTTTTTTTTTTTGTTTTTTTCTTTCTATTTCTTTAAATTTATGGTTTTTCTGTTGTATTTGGGGTGATTTTAAATTCTAATAATTTTGAATCAGTCATGGTTTAGGTTACGAGTAACCCCAATATTTAAAAAGTGGGCATTCGAATGATTTGTAGTTAAAAACATAATAATTATTTTGCCTTCCTATTCTCACCACAAAAACACATTCCTCGCTAACAGATGGGGGACTGGAAATTTGTTTATACCCTGACCCGGGAGCACAAGTATGTAAACATGTCTGGTTTAGGACATATATATATATATATATATATATACTCGACTCTCCCCGTCAGATAGGCGTATGAGATAGTCAAGCAGATCCTTCTAGAAACTGACAGCCTGACAACACCTGAGATTTAATTATAGTGGTAAATGTTTCCTGCATGTCCATTCACACATTTGAAGGGAGCGAATACAGAGACATGGTACAATACGTGCCTCGGACCCCAAACGACCTCCGCAGCTTTTAGATTGTCACTTCTCCTAGACCAGTTGCCATTTCAAAGGCTATAGAATAGAACTCAGTCTGTCGTGTTATTTACCCGTGGCAAAGAAAGGATTCTACCTTTCCCGGATTACGTAAGTGAATGTAATTGATTCGAGTGGGAATTCGAACTCAAACATCGATTTACTCAATCCGATCTCCTATCTTACCGTTCTTCTCCTCCTATATATATATATATATATATATATATATATATATATATATATGAGAGAGAGAGAGATCTACAAATGGATATATATATATATATAGGGAGATATATAGGATATATATATATATATATATATATATATATATATATATATATATATATAGTTGTGGTATTCCACTCTTGGGTATGGTGAGTAAATTGCCGTCACTGCGCCTGTAAGGGAGGTTGTAGCCACCCAGCAGGACGAAAATAAGACCTAACAAAAGCAGAGAAGAACGGCCAGTTAACTGAGGCGGTGTCTCCATAAACCACCGCCGGAGAAAGTTACGAGAACCATTCCAATTATTAATCCCAAGAAATAGCATGGGTAGTTAACAAGCAAATTATGATGTTATAGAACAGTTTAATTGGTTTAACCTATGGAGAATTAACTCTCTCAGGTAGGCACGACCGACCCGTGCAAACACGTCATCTGACCTGTCATCCAGCAGACTGATTAGCAAGAATGCTGTAAAAAGGAAAATATATCCATCGCCAGGGAAAGGTGATGACATGACACCGGAAAGGTGTCACCGGACCGTCGTAAACGACTGGCTCAGACAAACAATAAGCCTTTCTTCGAACATGGACGTTAGAACGTTAAAGAACTGTGACCAGTTAGAGAATTATAAGATTAGGTTAATTATGGCTTATTTTGGCTGTATGTAGGAAGCTAACGTTGTGCCCGACAACGGAGATTTTGTCAGTGTTAGCCTCGGTATTATATATGCAGGCGGAGAAAAATGAAATGGATGTTGGATTGATACTAGATCAAGACATCAAAATGCGTTCTGGGAGAGTGTCAGTAATCTGAAAATTCTTGTAGTTAAACAGAAGGCGTTTTCAAAATACCTATTATAATATTTATGCACCGTCCTTTAAAAATGGAATAGAAATCGAATCTTTCTACTACATACTAGTCAACATAAGACTCATTATAAATCACAAGAATTATAATTCTCATGGGGAGGTGAATGCCAAAGTAACGACAAGGATATATATATATATATATATATATATATATATATATATATATATATATATGTGTGTGTGTGTGTGTGTGTGTGTGTGTGCGTGTGTGTGTGTGTGTGTGTGTGTAAAATGCGTTGGATAAAATCTACATACACATCAATATGCTTGCACGTACGTGTAAATATATTTCTTCCTTAGGTGTTACAAATACAGTGTTCAATATGTTGTGAGACAGAGCTCTTAGTGAAAATACATAATATCCAACATTGATATGACTCAGGGTTTCATGCAGTTCTTACGTCTTTGGGTGAATTTTTTTTGAAAGAATATTTAAAGAAAATATATATATATATATATATATATATATATATATATATATATATATATATATATATATATGTAATGTATGTATATATATGTGAGAGTGTAAATCAATTAGTAAAGACTATGAAAATCAAGAGATAAAATATATAAAAACAAAAACAGGGAAGACATGACGCGAGACATCACGCGTGCGTAATACTTCTGAGTAGCTAGTCGCGTGCATGCAAAATTCCATCATTCAACTGGGTGGCATAGTCATAACGAGGTCGAGCGAACAGGAACTCCCATCACCAATGGCAAATTCAATGAAAATGCAGCCTCGCGGGCTTTCTGCGTGCAAAGTAATTCAAACACGCAAATTCGTGTTGGCGAGGTGAATAACTTGACGCGAATCAACGAAAGAGTTTTTGAGCTGATAGAAGGTGTTGAAGCAGTAAGAACGAATTGTAATGGAGGTGCGATCGGGCACCCATCCTGCATATACGGAAGAACGCAAAAGAGTGGATGGACATCAATATGGATCTGACCAACCCAAGCCATAGTAAATTCTAAATTGGGGTACCGTAAGTTTGATCGCATTGGGAACCCAGAAAAACAAAGGCCCTGATGGGACACAATCCATGAAAGAAGACCTCTGTAAACCTCTCCCACAGTTGAATCTTGCTCCCTGTAAAAGACGACATTGATAAAAAAAAAGCATTCTAAGTCAGTTTTCGTTGTTGTGAAATATTTTAAGATGTTCCATATATTTCGCCATCTTTTTCATTTGGCACAAGGCAGATATTGTAATTCATTGTTCCTCTGCTATGAGCCTTGTCCCTTCAGGACTTTGGCGACGATGGCTCTCTATAATTTAATTTCCTTTAGTTCTTATAAATGCTGGCTTTGTGGTCTTTTCACAAACTCATCTCCGCCTTCCATTTATTCGTTCTTTTTTCTTCCATGTTGAGTCTGTTCAAGAGGTAGAGTGACCGGAGCTCTCCACAACTTCATGTCTGTTCAGCTATTAATAATATTTATATTTTGTTGTTTCGCCATCAATTTACTCAAACCGTTCTTCTTTTATCTCCCTCTTCCTTCAAGACATTAGCGATCCTTGACTCCACAATTTCCTATCCTTTGTAGCTCTAAACAAATTTATTTATTTACTTTTGTTATCCTCTTAAAACATTTCCGCCATCTAATTTGATTATAATGTGCTTCGTAGCGCTTATAATATAAGTAATACTGGACAGTGTTGTGACTTGCCTGCATTAATTCGTTTGAAGACTGCCTCAAACAGCTTCTTTGATATTCACCCAAGTCCTCGCCCACTAGGCAGGATGTGGCACAAAACCGGTTTTAACGAGGAGCGTTACGAGCTCATTAGCAAAATATCCAGCAAGACCCTGTATACGTATTCGGTTTATCTACCTCCCAAAACGAGAGCTTTTGTCCATCGGCATAAACTCGTCTGGATGCCTCTCTGTCCAAGGCAGAGAATTCGACAAGGCGTCAGAAAAACTGCCAAATACCAAACCGCTTCTCTTCTGTACTGACCTGGAGCTCTTCCATTTTATGATTGTGGATTAGTTCATATAGTCACCGACGATGTGCTATTTACTCCAGTACACATTTGCTGAAGCACATTCTTCTTCTATCTACCGTGTTCTTTCAGGACGTAGGCGATCCATGCCCTCTCCACAATTTCCTGTCTTATCCGCTAACAAATATTTGCATTTTGGTGGTATCACTGATGCAAACATTCCTCACGCAATCCATTTACTCGGTATTCTTTTTACTGTCTACTGTGTTCCTTCAGGACATGAGCGATCATGGCTCTCCACAATTTCCTGTCTTTATGTCAACACAAATATTTGCATTTTGGTGGTATCACTGCTAAACATTCCTCACGCAATCCATTTACTCAAGTACATTTGTTCTTCTACTGTCTACTGTGTTCCTTCCGGAAGTGGGCGATGATGACTCTCCACAATTTCTGACCAATATAATTCTTAATAAATTTTGTTTCTTTATCTCTCACTAAACATTTGCCATACATTTATCCATGCTCACACTTCACCTATTTCTGTCTGTGTGATGATCATAAACTACATTTCGCGTCCTGGGTAAAGATGATAAATTACATCCGCGTCTTGGGTAAGACGATAAACTACATCCGTATCACGGGTAAGACGACAAACTTCATCTGCGTCCCTGTTAAGATGATAAACTACATTCGCGTCCCGGATAAGACGATAATCTACATCCGCGTCCTGGGTAAAGACGATGAAATACATCCGCGTCCCGGGTAAGACGACAAACTCATCGGTGTTCTCGGTAGGACGATAAACTACATCCGCGTCTGGGTAAGACGATACACTACGTCCAACAGCAAGGCCTCTGATCAGGAGGTTTTGGTGAGCGTGAAACCACCTTCTTAATTGGTGGTGTTCCCAGGTCCACCCTAACCCGGGTGGTAGCATCTGTTAAGACCCAGCTATCGGCAAATAGTTAACCCCGAAATGGGGTAAAACATGAAAGTGTAAAAATAGGTTTTAATACCAGAAATATTTACCCATCAATAAATTTTTGAAGAAAAAAAGTATTTTGAAAAAAATATTACAAGCTATACATTTTGAGGAAAAAAAATGTACAGGCAAATGCTCTTTTGAAAACAATTATTACCAGAAATACATTTTTTTGAAAAAAAAATATTGCTAGCAACACATTT